GACATACAAAATGTGCAGTGCTAGGGGTACTTCATGGAGAGGTTTGAGAACCACTGCTCTAACGTGAGGACAAACACATACGGTAGGGAGCAGGAGCATATGTGAACCATATCTCTCCCTCCAAACTGGGTTCCTCTCCTGGACATTTGGAGATGGTGAATTGCTGCAGCAGGGAGGTGAAGTATAAGAAGAGCTCCTGACGAGCCAGCTGCTCTCCCAAACATGCTCGCTTACCTGTGAGAAGGTGCCATCAGCTAAAGTTAAAAATCCTAACGTGGCATGGACAACAATTATTCACTCACCCAAAGTCAATAAAAATATTTAAATACAAGCATATCACTTTTTAGAAGTTATAGCAGATTAAATGTTTGCACATTACCTGCTGAAAATGGCATGAAGGCATCTCTCTTCCAAAACTGGCCATTTTCAGTCAGGAAGTGTCCTGGGTTAAAGGTGTCTGGGGTTTCCCATTCGTTTGGATCATGCAGGACTGAAGACAGGTTTATTGTAATAGAGGTGCCCTAATAAAGAGAAAATGCAAACTTCACTGTTCTAGACAGGACTACACCCCTAAATAGAAAAGAATATAATTCATACCTTAGGAATGAAGTATCCTCTTAGTGTTGTGTCTTTAACAGCTTTTTTAGGGAATCCCAGTGGAACAACATCTCCAAATCTTTGTATCTCATGGATAACAGCCTCAGTGTAGGGCATATTAACTCTATCAGCCAAACAGGGTTGACGCGACTGTCCAATCACCCTGTCTATCTCTTCCTGGACCTTTTCTGAATGGGAAATACAAATATTACTTGTATAATGTGTGTGTTTTTAGACAACTCGTTCATGGAAAACTCCTGGACCTGATGCATTTCTAAGCTAACTTGCAGATGACATATAACCCGCATGCTTCAAAAGAAGATCCATGATCATTCCTGCTTTAAAAATCAATACTCACCTTGGATTTCTGGGAACTTGATCATAAAAAGCAGACCCCAGCGCAATGTTGTAGTTGCGGTTTCTGTCCCGGCCTCAATCAGGTCTAGACAAGTCACTACTAACCCTTCAATGTTAAAACCAGCCTCAGGATCACTCTTTTTCTGCACAGGTGGGAATCAATACAAAAATATGCAAAAACTCTCTTATCAAAACCTTAGGTTGATCAAATGGCAGTTGCCTGGAAATGTACCTTGTTTGTATTTTAAAAGCTTAACAAAATAAAATCCAACTTTAGTTACCTTTTCCATCTCAGTCAGGTAGTTGTCTATTAAGTCACGTGGGTTTAAAGGGTCCCAGACCTCTTTGTGTTTAATGATCTCTCCTCTCAGGAAGTCTGTTATTTGCTTATAGTTGGAAAAAATAGTCTGGTGGGGGCCAGGTAAATATTCCAAGAGCCAAGGACAGACATTATACAGCTGTGAAAGATGACATAATGGGTGATTAATACAGATTTTTATTACAATGAAGTCAAAGGTTATGAAAGTAGAGTCTAAGAATGCTATTATGAATCAGTACCTGTGCTCTAGGAGAGCCTGTTAACTGAATGCATTCAGTATCAAGACGCAGAATTTTTTGGTAACATTCATCATGATACTCAAAGCGTTGTCCAAATATTAAGCAGGAGATGATATTTGAGACAGCACTGTTCAAGGTGACCATGGGGTTAAAAGGTCCTGTTTGAAAAAAAAAACATGTATACATACTGTATAT